ACAAATGTTCTATTTTTTGCTTTTATTAAAAAATGCGTCAATTTTGACACATCATTTTTAATCTAATTTTATTTTCGCTTCATTCAACTGAAAAACCTACTAAATTCGAAATATTTTGTCAAAAATTAGACCTGAAAATATGTCATTTTTGCTCATTTCAATGGATTTGAAGCATTTTTAAATGACTGAATTCGAAAAATTTCGCCAAACTAAACCTGAAATGCGTATTTTCTTGACTTATAGAAGAATATGTTTTAACAAAACAAGGTAAAAAATTTGAAAAAATCTCTTGTTTTGGCAGATTTAGTAAATGTTTTTTATACAAATATCACTATAAATGTAAAAACAAGAAAAAATTTTCAAAATTAAGTGAAATTTTTTCTTTTTTCTTAATTCAACTGTTTTTAATAATTTAAAGCGTTTTTTCACTAAGAAACTCGCTAAATCCGAAATAATTGGACAACACAAAGTAAAAATTGCAAAATTGATCTGATGAAAAGTTTCTCTTTTTTCGCTGTAATGTTTTATTTCTTGCCCAAAATTTTAACTTTTTTTTTAACTATCACATTTTCAGCTTTTTTACAAAATTTGTGAGTGTTGTTTCAGTTTTCGTTTTTTTCTGTTTTTCTCGATTGAAACTGTGAAATGCGAACAACCATAATTAAAAAAAAAACGCGTTTTTCAATCATTTTGTATATTTTTCCCTAGTTTTCTAATTTAAGCACAATTTTAAAATTTTGAATCCTTGTTCTTTAATTTTCACATTTTCAATCATTGTGATATTTTAGTTTTTTTTTCTGTTTCACTCAATTAAACTCGTTTTTTAACCATTTTATATTTTTTGTCATAGTTTATTTTTATTTTTTCTAGTTTTCACTCGATTAAAACAGTGAAATTCGCATCTTGTTTAACCAGAACAGCCTGTATTTTTTGGAATCGACCAAATTGCATCAATTTCATTCAAAGTTTCAATTTTGTCGATAAAAAATCGGGATTTGGTAGTAAATTAAGATTCTTTGTTTGCTCTTTCCCTATTAGCATTTCCGCCCTCCTCGTCGAGAATTAATGATCTGAGCTTTTTATTAAAAGTGAGCTTTCTGGTTATTCCAGTGAATACCCATATGCACGCCGATCACATCACTGGAACGGGCCACTTAAAGCAACTTTCCGGTTGTAAAAGTGTGATATCTCGCAAAAGTGGAGCACAAGCTGATGTTCTTATCGACGAAAATGATTTTATAACATTTGGTAATCAGCAATTGAAGGTGTTATCAACGCCTGGCCACACCAATGGCTGTTGTTCCTTTTACAGCGCTGAACAGGTTGGTATTTTTTTTTTTTTTTTTGATTTAAATGAAAAAGTTTCATTACATTTTTGGGGGAATTCTGCTCTTTGGGAGAGCTTTCATGAAACAAAGGACTAATTGAGGCATTTGGAGCTTATGCAAACAGTGTTTCTTTTAGTTTTAGCATCAGAGTGTCCCAGCGAGTTGGTAAAGTCCTGAAATACCCTACATATTTTTGTATTTTATTTTGTATTATTCGAATTTTAATTTTTAAAATTGTTCACGATTTTTCGGTTTAAATCACTGTTTTGGATTTTTTTAGTTCTAATAGACAAGCTAAGAAGCCAAATTTCAACAATTCTGAATTGAAAATGTCATTTACAAACTTTTTTGTCTCTTCCAAAATAATCATTTAAAATAAAATTTAAAAAACTAAATTTGTCTATTAATTATGATTTGACGAAATTAGTAAAAAATGGCTTATTAATTACATTCTTTGATTATTTATAGTCTTAAATAACGCATTTTGTTCTGCTTTTTGAAAAATTAAAGTTTATTTGATACAACTTGGTCAAGTTTGAGACTCTAGGGGAGTTTCTAGTCACCACAATTGGGTCAAATTTCACTAAAATGTTACTAAACACCCAATAAAGCTCCCAGAAAAGTTTCATTAAAATATCTCAAGGCTTTCTTGATTTAAACGAGGTGTTAAGTGTTAAAATCACTTTTAATCAATTTTGAGATATTCAAAGAGCTGTAGAAAAGCTTCTAGCCGACAGAAATTATTCAAATTTGGCTCAAATCTTCTCAAATAGTTGATAAACCCGTCGAAAAAATTTCATCACAATATTCCAAAGCCTACTCGAGTTATTTAACACGGTGCTAAGTGCTAGACTTGTCTTAGTATTTTTTTGAAATTACATTTGACCAAAACGGCTCAAATACCAACTGTGGTAAAAATCTGATTCCAGATTATCAAAGCTGGTGTAAAAATGCATAAGTGGTGAAAATTTTACATTAATATCGATTGAAATAAACAAATTTGAAACATTTTTTGCGATAGTAAATATCATTTTTTTTTCGTTCTTTATTATTATTTGAAATTGTTAAAATTTAATTATTCTTAAAATCACACACTATTTTGCGTAAATGGGCAAATTATCATCTGGTAATTTTTTAGTTGAAATAATCAAAACAAAAGTTAAATGATTTCGTTTGAAATGTATCTAAAACCAAACAAAACTTGTTTCTTCATAATATTAAGATTTTTTTGAAAATATTTTAGAATGATTCTTCAGTTTTTTATTTATTATATTTTGTCCTCGATTTTAACAGAACTTAATTGAGATTAAGTACAGAGTGACTCAACAAAGCCTTTTTTAAATAACTTTGAAAGTTTTCAATCATTTCAAAATTTCTACACTATATTTTTTTCAAAAAAAAACTTCAATTTTTTTATTTTACTTTGAGCGAAAATGGTTCCTCGCTTCTTCCATTAACTCAGACTGTAGTTAATAACGAAATCTAAAAAAATACATATTTTTATATTTTATTCTCTATTATCCAAATTTTAATTTTTATAACAATTGTTGACAATTTTTCGGTTTGTTTTCAAATTTCTTAAAAATAACTATTTTGGATTTTTAGTTATAATAGAAAACCTAGAAGAAACAAAATTTCAACAATTTTGAATTGAAAGTGTCATTTGCAAACTTTTTTCTCTGTTTCAAAATGATCATTTAAAATAAAATTTAAAAAACTAAATTTGTCTATTAATTATGATTTGACGAAATTAGTAAAAATGGCTTATTATTACATTCTTTGATTATTTATAGTCTTAAACAACGCATTTTGTTTTGTTTTTTGAAAAATTAAAGTTCATCATTTATTAGAAGATTTGATACAACTTGGTCAATTTTGAGACTCTAGGGGAGTTTCTAGTCACCACAATTGGGTCAAATTTCACTAAAATGTTATCAAACACCCAATAAAGCTCCCAAAAAAGTTTCATTAAAATATCTCAAGGCTTTCTTGATTTAAACGAGGTGTTAAGTGTTAAAATCACTTTTCGTAAATTTTGAGATATTCAAAGAGCTGTAGAAAAGCTTCTAGCCGACAGAAATTATTCAAATTTGGCTCAAATCTTCTCAAATAGTTGATAAACCCGTCGAAAAAATTTCATYACAATATTCCAAAGCCTACTCGAGTTATTTAACACGGTGCTAAGTGCTAGACTTGACTTGGCATTTTTTGAAATTTCATTTGACCAAAACGGCTCAAATACCAACTGTGGTAAAAATCTGACTCCAGATTATCAAAGCTACTGTAAAAATGCAGAAGTGGTGAAAATTTTACATTAATATCAATTGAGGTAAACAAATTTGAAACATTCTTTGCTACACATTTTTTTCCAATTTTTTTATTTTACTTTGAGCGAAAGTGGATCCTCGCTTTTTCCATTAATTCAGACTGTAATTAATTAAAAAAATAATTTGAACATAACATATTTTTATATTTTATTTTGTGTTATCCGAATTTTAATTTTTAAAATTGTTGAAAATTTTTTGGTTTGATGTTTTTATCGTCAATTTTTACGTCTTACGGCTTAATAAGATATAAAATAATAACAAGTTGTTAAAAGATAGTTTAAAACATGTCTCTGATAACTGAACGGTTATTTCGTAATATTGTAATTTTTTTGAGCTAACTTTTGAAAATATCTTTAATATATTTTTACTTTACTTTACCAACTCGCTGGGACACTCTGTATAGAGAAGCGTAAACACATATTTTCATTTTATAATGAAAACACTGTTTTAACACAGTAATTAAATCGAGCAGTTGATATTTTATCACCCTTATTAAATTCATCTGCAGTAAAGTTTTCTCTGGGGTCAATTTACAAACAAAATTAATAAAAAAGCCATTAAAATGTTTTTTTTCTTCACTAATTGGTAGTAATAAATAAGGAAAATTGTTGTAATTTTGTAAAATATTTCGATTTTATGTTTAATGATTTTTATTTCAATTTTAATCCCTTATCTAACAATCATTTTTTTGTGGCTAATTGGAAAAATTAATTAAAATTCATTATTTTTGCGTTTTTTTTTCAAGCAAATTGGAATTGAATTAAAACAGTTTTTTGTGAGGTTTTTGAATTTGATTGGTTGGATACATTTGTTAATTCCGATTACAATCAATTTTTAGAGTTTGTATTCCACAAAGTTCAAAATTTCAAAATAAAAATATTTAAAATCTGAAATTCTAGAATTTATGAAATTTGATTTTTATTCCTGCAGTTCTAGAAACTTTAAAATTACAATTTTTAACTCAATAATTCTAAAATTTGTGATTTTATCTTTGTTTTCAAAATAAAAATTTTCAAATTTGAAAATCACTGAGAATTTTGTTTTAGAGAATTCTAATTTTTTTGAAACTGGATTTGTTTCTATTCTCATTATTATTTCCTTATTTATTTTTCTTATTCTTATTCTATTTTGCTTGACGATTGTGTGTTTTAGAAATTTTCAATCTAAGTGTGTTTTCAAAACCGTAAATTTTTAATTTTTAAATAGTTTTAAGTTTATAGTTTTTAAAWGTTTCTCATTCGAGACTTTTAGAATCTGTTTTTTTTTTCAATTTTTAACTTCTTAGATTCTAGAATTTTATTAGAAGTTTGTTTATTAGAGCTCTAGAGTTTCTATTCTACAAATTTCAAAATTTCAAAATAAAAATACTGAAAATCAAAAATTCTTTGCTTTTTATTGATTCTAGAGTTTTAGAGATTTAATTTCTAATCCTACAGTTCTAGAAATTTTAAAACTAAAATTTTCAATTATATTTTTCTCAAATTAGTGATTTTTACTTCGCTTTCAGAATTTAAAATCACTAAAAAGTGATTTTTACGATTCTAAGGTCTTAGAAACTGGATTTTTACTCTATTTTAATCTATTCTCACAATTTTTTTCTTTTTCTGTTCTCATTTCCTTTTTTCTATTATTATTYCCAATTCAGTGTTTCTAACTTTATAGTTTTTTATTTGAAATTTT